GTTCAGTTGGAGTTCGGCCATTTTATGAAGATCGATGGTTGGTGGTACGGACGTAGCACATACGCGAGACAAAGCGTCTGCTACCGCGTTATCCGATCCAGAAACGTGCTGGATATCAGAAGTGAACTGGGAAATATAGTCTAAATGGCGTGATTCTCGCGGTGAATACCGGTCTGAAGTAGTGTGGAGGGCGTACGTCAATGGCTTATGGTCGGTAAATACCGTAAATTGCCGGCCTTCCACGAAGTGACGAAAATGCTTGACAGCAGCGTAGACAGCGAGAAGTTCCCTACCGAATGTGCTGTATCGAGATTCGCATGCGGTAAGTTTACGTGAAAAGAAAGCAATCGGTAGCCATACATTAGCCATACGCTGTTGAAGGACGGCTCCGATCGCAGTATTAGAGGCATCTACGGAGATGCTGATTGGAAGTTGAACATCTAGATGGACCAACATTGTGGCGTCAGCAATAGCTTTCTTGATAGCTGCAAAAGCTGTCGAGGCTTCCTTAGTGAACACCAAAGACTTGCATTTCCCTTTAAGCATGTCAGTCAAGGGGGTCACGATATGAGCACACTGTGGGATAAAGCGACGGTAGTAACTAACCATCCCGAGAAAAGTGCGTAGTGCCTTGGGAGAAGTGGGTAGAGGGAAGTTTTGAATAGCTTCTACCCGGTCAGGTAACGGATAAATTCCATCTTTGTCTATCCTATGTCCCAAAAATTTCAGGGAAGTGGCTCCAATCTGACACTTCGGCAAGTTGAGTGTGAGGGAGTGTGTCACAAGTCTTTGGAAAACTGTCTGCAAATGAAGTTGATGAGTGGCTTCATCTGGACTAGCTACCAAGATATCGTCCAGATAGGCGAAGGCGAAATCAAGCCCGCGCAAAACGTCATGTATAAAACGCTGGAAGGTTTGTGCAGCGTTCCGTAAGCCAAAAGGCATTCGAAGAAACTCGAACAGGCCAAACGGTGTAATCACAGCAGTCTTAGGTATATCTTCGGGGTCGACGGGAATCTGGTAGTAAGCCCGTGTAAGGTCCAGTTTGCTGAATACTCGAGCTCCCTTGAGTGAGGCGGTTAAATCGTGTATGTGCGGGACAGGGTAGCGATCGGGAACAGTTTGTGCGTTTAGTCTGCGGTAGTCGCCACAAGGACGCCAATCTAAACCGTTATTCTTAGGTACCAGGTGCAACGGTGAGGACCACGGGCTGCTGGATGGCCTAATAATCCCCATTTCCAGCATATGCTCAAACTCCGCTTTGACAACCTTTAGTTTTTCTGGGGATAGTCGCCTCGGCTTTGCGAAAACTGGCGGGCCAGTAGTGACAATATGGTGTTTGACGTTGGAAGTCGCACATGGCAGGCCGCTGCTAGGTTTGAACAAATCTGAAAAAGACTGCAGTATATGCGAATAAGGACCAGTGCTAGTGGGTGTGGCATATACCGGGCTGAGGGCTGGGCCTTGTGTGACGATACCGCTGACGGAGAGGTTTGTGACAGGATCTTTTAACTTATGATTACCTGTATCTACCAGTAATTGGTAGTGCTGCAATAGATCCATGCCAATTATACCTGTGGTAACGTCTGCCACCAGGAAGACCCAACGAAGTGAACGACGCAAACCGATGTTAAGATCTATAAAGCGCCTGCCGAACGTAGCAATTGGCGAACCGTTTGCGGCTCGTAGTTGAAGAGACATTGGCCGCCTGCGCTCCTCTACTGTGGGTGGGATTACACTGACCTCTGCTCCGGTATCAATTAGGAAGCGTATCCCAGTGTTACGGTCGGTAACATAGAAGAGGCGACATGAGAGTGGTTCGCCAGCGACGTTAGTCGCCAGTACGTGCTGGCTTGCTAGTTTCCCGACTGTTGAACATCGAAGGTGCACGGGCGAGTGCACTTTTGGGCTTTTGCTCCGTAACGTCGATGATACCAGCACACTCCAGGCTGGTTACTTCGGGACTGTCGGCGCTTGCTGCTAGCACGTGGCAAGGGTCTGCTACTGCGCGAACTTGAGGGACTGCGTCCACGACTCCTGGAGTTCATCTCCTGTCGGATACTACAGATCTCCTCGTATAGCTTGGCAATATGGGCCACCGCGTCAAAGCTTGATGACCCCCCATCAGACGAATCTTTAGTCTGAGCGGGAGCAGCAGTTACTGTTGCGGAAATGCCAATTTTGGGATTGATGGCCTCTACGGCTCTATCAGCTGCCTCGGCTATCTCCTGTAAGGGGTACTTGTAGATCGGTGCTAAGATACCCTGGACTGCCTGAGGTAATCTTTGAAGCCAAAGTTGTTTGAGAAAAACCTCGTCAATTTTAAAGTCCGCCACTAGCTGCTTCATCTGCCTCAACATTTGTGAGGGCTTGCGGTCACCTAACTGAACATCGCGGAAAAGTTCCTGCACTTTCTGTTGGTCAGTAAGTGCGACTCGTTGAATTAACGCCTGCTTGAGCCGCTCGTACCGATCCGGAGACGGATCTGCGAGAACGTCAGCCACCTCGTCTATGACACTTTCGGGTAGGCTCACAATCACGTGGTTTACTTTGGTCTCTTGTGAGTGTATGTGTCTAATGGCAAACTGAGCCTCTATATGATTAAACCATGCAGCTGGACGATGTGTCCAGAAGGCGGGGAGTTGCAGCGTTATAGCCATCTCTGACGCAGAACTGTTGTCAGCCATCTTGCACACAGGGCACAATATTAACAAGGTGATAAAAAAACCAATATAAGTACAAAGAAAACAAATCGAATCTTTATAACCGTGCGTGAAAGGAAAAAAAATAACAAAATAAACGGTACGTAAAAAGAATCGTTAACACGTTAAACTACTATAGCGGAAAACGGTGAAAACGGGCTCACCACTTGTAAGAGTTCTACTACGGCTTAGAGTGGACCTATACTCTAAACACCCTTACAAACTTCTTCACCGTTTTGGCGACCTACTAAGCTTAGCAGTACACTACTGGACGCGCAAATACTGACGAACTGTATCGTTGTAAAAAGACTTGATGTGACAAGAGTACCTGGGAGAATTATATTTTATTCGACGAAATATAAAATTCAATAAATAAAGAAGTCGTACAACTTATCTGCAGACGTTGCTGGAGGTAGGCTCGGAGAGTGTGCAGAAGGAGAGCACAACAAGAGAGCGAACCTATGAACGTAAGGAAGACTCACAAGTCAAAAGGTAAAACGTGGATCACCGTGGGTGAGTCAGTTTAAACAAAAGTTCAAAGGTACAATGTGCACTACAGATAGATAGATAGATAGATAGATAGATAGATAGATAGATAGATAGATAGATAGATAGATAGATAGATAGATAGATAGATAGATAGATAGATAGATAGATAGATAGATAGATAGATAGATAGATAGATAGATAGATAGATAGATAGATAGATAGATAGATAGATAGATAGATAGATAGATAGATAGATAGATAGATAGATAGATAGATAGATAGATAGATAGATAGATAGATAGATAGATAGATAGATAGATAGATAGATAGATAGATAGATAGATAGATAGATAGATAGATAGATAGATAGATAGATAGATAGATAGATAGATAGATAGATAGATAGATAGATAGATAGATAGATAGATAGATAGATAGATAGATAGATAGATAGATAGATAGATAGATAGATAGATAGATAGATAGATAGATAGATAGATAGATAGATAGATAGATAGATAGATAGATAGATAGATAGATAGATAGATAGATAGATAGATAGATAGATAGATAGATAGATAGATAGATAGATAGATAGATAGATAGATAGATAGATAGATAGATAGATAGATAGATAGATAGATAGATAGATAGATAGATAGATAGATAGATAGATAGATAGATAGATAGATAGATAGATAGATAGATAGATAGATAGATAGATAGATAGATAGATAGATAGATAGATAGATAGATAGATAGATAGATAGATAGATAGATAGATAGATAGATAGATAGATAGATAGATAGATAGATAGATAGATAGATAGATAGATAGATAGATAGATAGATAGATAGATAGATAGATAGATAGATAGATAGATAGATAGATAGATAGATAGATAGATAGATAGATAGATAGATAGATAGATAGATAGATAGATAGATAGATAGATAGATAGATAGATAGATAGATAGATAGATAGATAGATAGATAGATAGATAGATAGATAGATAGATAGATAGATAGATAGATAGATAGATAGATAGATAGATAGATAGATAGATAGATAGATAGATAGATAGATAGATAGATAGATAGATAGATAGATAGATAGATAGATAGATAGATAGATAGATAGATAGATAGATAGATAGATAGATAGATAGATAGATAGATAGATAGATAGATAGATAGATAGATAGATAGATAGATAGATAGATAGATAGATAGATAGATAGATAGATAGATAGATAGATAGATAGATAGATAGATAGATAGATAGATAGATAGATAGATAGATAGATAGATAGATAGATAGATAGATAGATAGATAGATAGATAGATAGATAGATAGATAGATAGATAGATAGATAGATAGATAGATAGATAGATAGATAGATAGATAGATAGATAGATAGATAGATAGATAGATAGATAGATAGATAGATAGATAGATAGATAGATAGATAGATAGATAGATAGATAGATAGATAGATAGATAGATAGATAGATAGATAGATAGATAGATAGATAGATAGATAGATAGATAGATAGATAGATAGATAGATAGATAGATAGATAGATAGATAGATAGATAGATAGATAGATAGATAGATAGATAGATAGATAGATAGATAGATAGATAGATAGATAGATAGATAGATAGATAGTTAAAATTTCAAGTGAATTTATGGTTTTCAATCCTATATGCAATCAAATAAATTCCCTACAAAACGAATAGTTGAAAATTTTACTGTCCTGCTATTTATCTATCTACATATCTGCCTATTTAGGGAATTGATTATAAAATCGATAAGAATCGAATCGATTATCATTCACATTTGAATTCTCCTCTTAGACATCGTATTATATTATTAATCCATTTTATATACAAATAATCATATATCCTTCGTTAACAATAATCACAAGAGAAACGAAAGGAGACGCTTTTTTTAAACAAAATTAAGCAGAAATCCCTCACCTGCTGAATAAAAAGCAAAAATCACACAATATTTCTGTCAGTTTATGAATCAAACATGCCTGGAACAGAGATTCAAATAAATCGTCTCTCATTGGGTACAAAAATCTCATTGATGACACATGCCCAATATCGTTATGAAGGGACTGTGGTAGCTATCAATTCAATTGAAGGTACGCTTACCTTACAAAATGTTAAATTCTGGGGAACTGAAAATCGTATCTCACCAAATGGAACAAATCAAAATGCTGAGAATAAAGAACCAGCAGTTGGGACAGTGTTTGATTCAATTACCTTTTGGATGTCAAGTATTAATCAAATGCGATTACTGGATGATATGAAGACAGAACAAAATGAGCTGGGAGATAAAGCTGTTGTCAAAGCAGCTGTAGCAATCGATGGAAGTAGAGGGACAGGAAGACGTCAAAGAAATTGGGTAAGTGATAAGCTGAACCTTATTGAAATGTGTTATGTATGTTACTAAACTCATACCTGATCCTAGGGTGATATATATATATATACATAAGACTTTCTATCACATTTCTTTACTCTCTGAGTTGAACATAGAGTTTCGGACTTGAAGACCTGACGTTTCAGTAATTAAGTTGTTTATTTTACAGGGTAGGGTTACTAACCTCAAGCTCTACCTTCCTTTTTTCGGGGCTTATTATCAACCAGTAAACTAAGTGAGGCTAAGAAGTGAGTCAGCAGGGAATTCAACCCCGGACCACGTGCATGTTTAGCAATAATATATATATATATATACTGTGTGCTTTCGGTAGTTTCTCACTGGGCCTTCGCTCCATACTGAAAAACAAATGGGTGGCCAGGGAGAATTAGCAATAATAAAATTTGTGTGGGAACAAGCTAACAGGCTAAAGCCGATCGCTCAACAAATATGCAGAAGAAATTGGAGATGGGTCGATCAGGCATACATTAAGGAGGCCGCTGAATGACATCGCACGTCAAGACATCGCTGGAATGGAAGAGGAAGGGGAAACGATGAGTGGGATGTCACTTCAGCGGTAACATAGAAGAGATTATGTGAAGAGGTGATGAGAGACTATGGGTAATCTTTGGGTCAGTTGATGAGGACAGCAGAGAATAGGAGAAAATGGAGATGTGCTGCTGATGTAATGATAACAGACATTCAACAGAATTAAAGTTCTGTACAACCCACAGTTCAGATGGGGGAAATAAGTCAAATGAGCTTGTGTATATGACTTTATCGCCCAAAAGGAGATACAGACACTGAACTATTCTGACACTGAAACTCTGCCATAACTGTATGCTCATAATTCACAACCTGTTGTAAAATCCTAATGTAGATGAAGGATAATCTAGTGAGTCTGGCACACTTCAGTGAACATTTCTATAAGCTTAACTGCTCTCTTGAAGACAGTTATATAGGTAGAAGGACCTGTAGAACTAGCTCGTCATTGCCTTCTTGAGTAGGAAGAGTAGTTATAAAGTTATTTTCTATAGTTTGGTTTGTAAGGGTTAGTTATGTTTTTCTTACGAGTTGATCACGGATTGATATCAGTTAGAGAACCATTGAAAACCAAACTATAGAAAATAAATCTGATGCTCGCTAGTGACCTGCTAGTTTCCTGCGTTCTAGTGAGAAGTCGTGACCAGTGAGGTCCAATTAGATGTCACGTGTGTGGATGGATGTCCCACCAACGACAATGGTTGGGGTCTCGCTAAATGACGAATTGGTAGAAGTTAGAATTCATGTACTGACTGGCCATTGAGTCGGGTCCCAGTGGCTGAATGGTATACGAGCTTGCCTAGTAACCGGAAGGTCCTGGGTTCGAATCCCAGTGGGTGTGTACTGCCAATGATTCCTAAACTGCGATGAAACAGTAGTTATAAAGTTAATCAATAGTTCCATATGGATAGGGATCATATGATTTATACAACTTCAGGCTTTACTATTCTTTACAAAGTGCCATTGCAATTGTCGAGCTCTATATGCATTCGATTGTAAAATATGGTGTTAGGAGTAACCAGTCTCTGTGTCTAGGAAATGTTTATCCAATCAGTTGCTCTCCTATGGACTTTATCTCAAACCTAGAATAGTTTCTTGTCATGGAAACACTAGATAATTGTGAGTATTATCTTTATTTCTACTGTTATCTTAGTCTTCATCTCCATTATCACACTCACCGCATTTTATAATTGCATAATTTAATATGAGTTTCATATAATTATTATTCCCTTGCGTCCCGAGTAGAACATAGGACTTCAACAACTTCTCTCCAATTTCTTCTATCCTATGTTGTCCTCTTCAACTGGGTCCATGATAGCACAGAATCTTTCACCTCCTATTCACACGACCTCCTCGATGTCACCCTTGTGCTGATGACCCATTTGGATCCCATTCGAGCGATGGCATACATTCAGCGCAATATCATTCGACGACCTCCTCAATGTACACCCTATCAATCCATCTCCACTTTCTCCTACATATTTCTTGAGCAATAGGCTCTTGGTTGGTTTGTTCCCATAGTTTCTTGTTGTTTATTCTTTCTGGCCAGCCGGCCGGCCGGCCGGCGAAGGCAGCTCTTAATGAAAGTCTGCAATCTGTTGGAAATCTTTTTCTTGACACGCTGGCTAACTTTCTAACCTATATAGAAACACTAACTGACTGACTTCACATTCGTTATGAAAATTCGAATCTTGTTCTTTATGCTGGCTGAGTGACTGAGGAAGATTTCCAGATAAATTTCAGGTTGATGAAGGCGTATTTCGCCTTTCTGATTGTGGCTGTCTGGCTGAGTTTGAAATCTTCATCCGTTTCAAATGCCTGTACTTGAAACGATGCTTCCTGGATAGATAAGTGAGGAAGGTAATCTCTGGTTGATTATGATTGGTGCTAGGTGTTATTGTTTCTGTTGCTATTGATTGGTTATCTCCATCACATCTGTCTTCTCTATGTTCACCTGGAGTCCCATCTTCACCAGCTAATTCTTCATCCAGTTTGTTAATTTTCGCCTAAATAAACTACTTACAGCAGCTAGCTATTTTAAAACTATCCACACTAATATTTTACAAACGAGAGCAATTGTAATAATCTGCAAAATTGACAGTTTTGATTATTAATGATTTTTGTGTTTTTAGTGGTACGAATCTGGTGATCAACAACGCTTTATGCGAATAAATACACCAAGTACTAGTCGTAATATCAGCAATCTATCAACCACATCAAATCGATTTAATAATTCATCTACTCAACATATCAGCATGCCACAACCACGTATGCTTGTATCCTATCCTCGTAGAGGTCGTAATCAACTAGGATTTTTATCAAGACAAATGAATTATGTACCTGTTGTACCAATTGCTCCTACTACAGGAAGCCTACACAAATCAAATCATCCTACAACGATTAGAAATCCACCCTTTAGAATTATGACTACACCTATTCCACCGAGTATTGGACCATTCACCGCTACACGATCTACTATTACTGGTAGAAAACCAAGTCAAACTATCAGACGAAATTTGAGCAGTAATGTTAGACGGTATACACAGAGTCCAATAAATCCTCGTGGTGGTGTATATGTTTATTTACCACCTGAAGTGACTACAACATATCATCCAAGATCAATAAATTTAGTTCAGTCACGTGTGGGAATGAATAGACGTCGAATAACAGACAGGAGAGGTGCTCCAAGAGGTAATGTCACTACACAGTCTGGTAAGTAGATTGATTACTTTTATCATCTACATAGAGGGGAAGTGGTGCACACTTAAGAACTGTCTCACTCCTCAAGAGCGATTTAATTAGCTAGTATTATTATTTATTTCATTTTCCTCCTTTGAGTTTTAAGTGGGACACAGGACTTCAAGTAGTGCGGAGTGAGGCTGCTGACCTGACGTACAACCTCCCATCTTCACCGACTAAGCAAGGAGTGCGTCAACCGAGACTGGAACCCTGAAGAACCTGTGTAGCAGACGAGTATGCTACTGTTCAACCACTGACGCATCGAAGAGCCAGTTACTCGGCCGGGAATCAAACCTGGGCCTTCATATGATAGACTCAGACACTCACCACTATGCAATCAAGTTTTTAAGTTTAAAATTTATATGGAGGATTTCACCATGGGCTGACATCAGTTACAGAACCACTGGAAAACCTGGGAGTACTGGACAGCTGTTTCGCTAGCCCAGTTTGGGACTCTTCAGCAGTACGCATACACCGCCACACTTCGAACCCAGGACCTTCTGGTTACGAGGCGAGCTCGTAGACCATTGAGCCACTGGGACCACAGCTGTCCAGTACTCCCAGGTTTTCCAGTGGTTCTCTAACTGATGTCAGCTCATGGTGAAATCCTCCATACAATCAAACAAACTCCCTATAAAACCAATACTTGAAAAATAATCTGATGCTCATTATCGACTGACCCTATTCAGACAGTTAACCTGGAGTTCTAGTGGGAAGCCGTGACCAGTAGGGTACGGCAGGCCGAAGATGGGGCAGCAACTCATCGAGGAAGACATTGCGAAGTGGTCGTGCTATGTCGTGAACTGGCAGAAGTTGGAATTCAAGAACCATTGGATCGGGTCCCAGTGAGTGGCTCAATGGTCTACGAGCTCGCCTCGTAACCAGAAGGTCCTGGGTTCGAACCCCGGTGGGTGCGTACTGCTGAAGAGTCCCAAACTAGGATGAGACGGCTGTCCAGTACTCCCAGGTTTTCCAGTGGTTCTGTAACTGATGTCAGCTCATGGTGAAATCCTCCATACAATCAAACAAAATCTCTACAAAACCAATACTTGAAAATTAAAATTTATAAATGAAAAGGAATTTTAATCGGGATTTGAAAAGCATATCTTAAGTTTTCTAAAACCTTTAAAATCTCATCTTTGACTTGATTTTCTGAAGATTACGACTAGAAATTAAAATAGAAGTTCAGCAGTTTGTCCTAAATGGCTTCACGTAAGAATTACAGATAATAAATTAGCTAGTTCACTAGTTTATGTAAAAATATCATTGGAATTTAGTGATATTAGATGGTTAGAGAGAATCAATAGGGAGCTTTGGATCTAGGTTGCGTGATAGTTGGCACTCATCAGCAGGGCTTATCTGCAACCTTAAAGAAACTCTTGTCCCTTCTGCCTCCAACCATCTAATATCACCACATCAATGTGCATCATGATGACGAGCTACCTAGTGGCATGGTGACCACATTGCAAACCTAACTGATAGGATTCAGTCTGAACCAAAGAAAGGACTATACACATTATACTAGTTACTAGTGTCCAGTGAAATTATCGGTGGAATCTGTGCATTCCTTTCAGTAATACCACTAATTTGACTGGTTGTACATTATGAGGTATAACCTGTAGTAAGTAGTTTAGTAAAAAACCTGACAAAAGTTAAATCCTTCTAGTCATTGGAATTCATGCCGATGGTCCATAAATTCTAACATCTGACAGTTCACCATATATATAAATGCATAGTGTGACCGCCAGTCGATGACATCAGTGTGACTGTCTGTCGACCATGAAGTTGCTTGAAGTTCTAGTGAAAAGTTGGGAACATCGCAGCCCATCAGGTTGAGTGTGAGGATAGACACTCACCAATGACATTGCCTGGCTGTCACCCTATATTTCACGAACGGATAGAAGTAAGAATTCATGCGCCATTTGCTTCTGTCTAAGCCATTGAATGGTCTAAAATCTCGCTGTGTAACTTGAATGTCCTGAGTTTAATTCCTAGTGAGGTCATAGGCGCTTACTGCTGGAGAGTCCCAAAGTGGGACAAAACAACTGTGCAGTAATCCGTAGTTTTGATTGATCCTCTAAGCGAAGTCAGTAAGTTGATGATTAAACCCAAAGTGCGTCGGTGGCACAGTGGTTAGGACTCTCGCCGACCATGCACATGGTCCGGGGTTCGAGCTCACGCCGGCGCACACCTGATATCTATGGTCGGCCTGCAAAATTTGGGCTACCGATATCCATGCTGAAAATTCCATACATGTACCAAAAATACAGTGTGGAATCAAGCTGTAAATCAAAAAAAAAAATCCATGGAAATCAACGCTTGAAGAAGTATATATATATCTGAGTGTAATTTGGAGGTTGTTATCAGTGTTTTATTTCCCCTGTAGACATCGACTGTTCTAAACCATATGACTTTGAAACAGCAAACGCTGAACTAGAAGCTGAATTAGCTAAAATCAATTTGAATACAGATTCGGTATCATCTGAAAGAATCCAGCCGCAAGATCATGATTCACTAGGAATAGATCAAGCTGCATCAACTGGTGATGGAGTTGCCTGTGTTAAACCGCCAATATCATCAACACTATCAGATATATCTGTAACAGCAGTGAGTACAAATGGTGCATCTGGTGATACTTCATCAGGATCAGTGAGTTCAAATATACCAAATAATAATACAAATGAGGCGCATACTGTTGAAAATCAAACTTCTAATGAGACGATAGGAATTCTTGCAAAGTAAGTTTAAACACTCGGAATTGTTCACAGGATTTTCATCATTATCTGACATTAGTTAGATAACCATTGGAAAACCAGCTGGGTGTACTGGTCAGTTGTTTCGTCCTAGTTTGGAACTCTTCATCAGTACGCATCCCTCAGGATTCGAACCGGGATTTGGGTGCGTACTGATGAAGAGTCCAAAACTAGGCTGACGAAACAGCTATCCAGTACTCCCAGCTGGTTTTCCAACGGTTCTCTAACTAATGTCAGATCATGATGAAAATCCTGTAACCAATCAAATTCCTACAAACTAACACTCAAAATTGTATTGATTATAAAACAAATTCATTCATGCTTGGTATCAGTTGTGATTAATAAAATACTTTTAATCTGGAATACTTCTGGTAAACGTTTTACTCACATCATATATAGATTAAACTAGATGAATAGTGTATTTATTCACGTGTTTGTTTATAGCTCTCATGAAACACTGCATATCAGGTCAAGGCTGATAACTCATTTCAGCTATATAGAAATAAATTCTAGCAGAAGAAACACAACTAATCTGTTACTATGCATTCTTAAAACACAAACACAAAGTAACCACGTGTGTGTGTGTATACGACTAAAAATGGATATGATGGTAGTGTGTAACTCCAGGTTAATTTATTGTTGTTCCCTTGCATTCCAAGTGGAACTTCCACAGCTTTCACAGCACATCTCCACCCTATCCCATCCCTTACCGTCCTCTTCAGTTGACCTCACCATTGCTCATAATCTCTCATCTCCTCCTCACGTACGATCTCCTCCATGTCGTCGTCGAATTAGCTGTCAGCTAGTTGTTCCTCATTCAGGTTTCACTCTAGTGTTTATCTAGAGTGCGATGTCATTCGACAGTCTCCTCAACATATTGCCTATCCATCTCCATTTGCTTCGACACATAATAAGTACTTCGTTGATGGGTTCCTAAAGTTTCTTGTTGCTGCTAATTCTTTCTAGCCGGCCGACCGGCCAGCCATTTGATCTTCATTATGGAGCCAGTTAAGGGGGCAGTTGTTGATCAAAGTCTGCAGTGGTCTGTAGTAAATGCTGTCGGTGACTTGTGAGTCAACTGTCTACCCACATAGAAAAACTCACTGAATTAGCATTTGAGTTGAAAATCCGAAACTTATTCTTCAAGCTGAATAAGTTCAGAAGATTTTCAAATTGATTTCAGCCTGATGAAGGTGTATCTTGTCTGTCTGATTCTGACTTTGAAATCTTCATCCGTTCTGACTGCCTGTAGTTGAAACGATACCTCCAAGATAGGTGAAGGAAGTAACCGCTTTCAAATTTCTTTGGTTGGAAGTGATTAGAACCATATTAATTTGCATTATTTCCTTGACGGCAAGGATTCGAAAGCGATTTTATCATTCACAGATATTAATTTTAATGAGTTTTATCCGCCCCCCCACCACCCTATTTATTATGGCATTTTAATTTCTAATTGTAATTTTAATAATTTGATCTTTAAGCGGAAGTAATTCTGGAATTTTCTCACTCATTTACTATAAATACACGAATGTACAGCCTAGTTGACGATGACTTCGTCGAAAAGGAAATTTTCTTCACTACAACCGACTTTTTATTATTCCCTATGATCGATTATATATATAAGAATAAAACTAAATGAAAAAGTTTAAAATCCCCGTTGAATCATATAAAAGTAAAGGTGTTCAGCGAAGATTTACTCTTTTCGGTAATATCATTCTCAAACTATACAGTCTAATGGTCTTAAATTTAAATCCTTCTAAATGTCTATCTGTTAATTTTAATTTCCGATTTAAAAGAAAGTTAAATGAAGCTGTTGGTTCCTATGACCGTTGCAAAATTGATGATACTGATATAGAAATCAAGTCTGAAGTTAAATATCTTGAATTAGTTCTTTCTTTTAACCTATCCTAGTCTTCCCATGTCTTATATATATATATATATATATATATATATATATATATATATATAGTCTTTTATTAAATAAGCTTTCGTTGACAAAAACAGGATCCTGAGCTAAGAGTTGGTTGCATTCTCATTTTTCTGATAGAATGCAGTATACTGTATATAATGGCAAATCTTCTTCTACCTCGCTTACAAAAGCCGGTGTTCCTCAAGATGCCGTTCTCTCTCCTTTTCTTTCTTCCTACACGACCTGTCTCATTTAAACGAAACTAACTTTGTCAAATATGCAGATGATCTGACTGTATCACTGCCTATCACTTCCGAGTCTGACTGCTCCAAACTTAATGCCTATCTGTTGGATATCTACAAGTGGTCTAAGTCAAATGGTCTTATGTTAAATCCTTCCAAATGTCAGGCAGTTATATTTACTTTCAAGTATCGACGTGACTTATATGAACTAGTTAGTTCACATGATGCCTGTAGCATAGATGGCACGGAAATTGAAACCAAGTCAAGCATTAAATACCTTGGATTAGTTCTTTCCTCTGACCTTTCATTGTCATCCCACATGTTATCAATCTCTAAGAAAATGTTTTGTCTACAACCTTCTACATTAAAAGGTTAAAACGATTAAGTATCAAGCAACCTTTACTTCTACAGTTTGTAAACTCATGTGTTTTACCTCTTCTACTCTATTGCTCTCCATTATTCTTTCCTGGGCTTCTCAAAAAATACTATATCATATTACGAAGAATATTAAATGATGTGAGTAGGGCTTGTGGTATGCCCCTGCGTGAGCTCTCCAATACTATAGTCATCACTATACTATACTATAGCTGTCGCCAATCTGAAACTAGGCAAAGCAGCGGGACCTGATGGAATGACTCCAGAGGTATTTAAGTACGGTGGAGACAGTTTACTGTCTGCATTAACTGAGGTACTAGGCAGCGTCTGGGAATCAAAAGAAGTCCCATCGGGTTGGTGTAAGTCACTGATTATCCCCATATACAAGAAGGGAGACAAGTCTTCCTGTGATAATCACAGAGGGATTAGCTTGACTAATATAGTATCTAAAGTCTTAGGCTCAATAATCATGCGTAGACTAAGTGGTGCTCGGGAGTCACAAACACGAGAGAGCCAGGCAGGCTTTAGACCAGGAAGAGGGTGTATTGATCATATCTTCACCCTCCGACAGATTCTAGAACATAGTCATTCCTACCGGCGTCCAACAGTCATTATATTTCTTGACCTAAAGGCAGCATTCCACTCTGTCGATCGGGAAGTTCTCTGGAGATGCTTGGCTGTAAAGGGAATTCCAAGAAAATATATTGCACTGATTAAGGCACTCTACTCGTACTCATACAGCCAGGTGAGGGCTTACGGCGAGCTGTCATCTGAACTGGTGACGACCAGTGGTGTCCGTCAAGGATGCCCATTATCCTCATTTCTATTCAACTTCATGATAGATGTGTTAATGGACTTAACCGTAACTCACTTCAGCGACTCAGGGATTGACTTGCTACCGGGGAATAATCTCGTTGACTTGGAATATGCAGACGATATAGTCCTTCTAGGTGAAGACGCCGAAGAAATGCAGAGTCTTCTGAACACCCTGAGCTGTAATCTACGAATGTTTGGCATGCGATTCGCTCCCGCCAAATGCAAGATGATGTTACAGGACTGGACTACATCGACGCCTATTTTAAAAATAGGAAGTGAAGTGGTAGAGCACGTTGACCGCTTCACTTATTTGGGAAGTACCATCAGCCAGTGCCAACGGGCTGATCTCTGACGAAATCTCAGCACGAATACAGGGGGCTCGTTTCGCATTCGCCAGTTTACGCCGACTCTGGCGTAGACGAGATGTTCGACTATCGACCAAAGGGCGGGTGTACTGCTCATCAGTCCGCTCCGTCCTCCTTTATGGTTGTGAGACCTGGTCACTGAGAGTGGAAGACATGAAAAGACTAGCTGTCTTTGATCATAGATGCCTGCGCTCTATTTCCCGTGTGAAGTGGCATAATAAGGTGAGCAACATTGAGGTTAGGCGTAGAGTTCTAGGTAAACAGGGGAAATCAATCGACGAAGTCGTGAAGTTACAAAGACTGAGATGGTTAGGACATGTGTTACACATGCCAAGCCATCACCTCCCTCGACGAGCAATGCTAGCGGATATAGGGTCTGGCTGGAGAAAAGCTAGCGGTGGTCAAACAAAAACTTGGCACCAGTCAATGAAATCCACAACAGTTGGTCTAAGCCACGTAGGAAGGTGTAGACTTCCAGGCTGGGGTCCTCGGGACGGTAAAAATCTATGGTTGGAAACAATTGGTGACATGGCTCAAAATCGTTCTCAGTGGCGCAGATGCATCCACTCCTTGTGACATATGGCCTCCAATGAAACTGTTTTGTTCTTCGTTATTACTCCTTTGTCTCACACCTCTGCTCACTGTTTCTATTATGCTTTTCTTGTACTTTCTTCTCTTGCTTCGCGTGCTACACGGAGTGTGGCGACTTGAACTTCCGCACATTTGTGCAAAGTTCTATGTCGAAAATAGACAGACAGACACAGATAGTCGAGAGACATATAACATCCTGTACAAAATGGGCAAAAGCCATACTGTGAGACCCCTGGACCTCTTTTATTCAAAATTATCTCCTTGCATCTCATCAGGTAGGACGAGAAGTCAATATAAGAAGTTATATGCTCGCACCACTAAGTACAAAAATTCTACAATACCCTATTTAGCCCGTATTTTATGTGTGATGGAGACACTGTTAGGCATGAAACATATAAGAAGTTACTATGTAATTAGCAAAGTGAACCGGCCCTTTCATTGTTCAGCTTTCTGTAATTTTATGCTGTCACCCTTTCTATCGTTTAATTATAACTTTGCTATTTTATTTTAGTTGTTATTACTATTATTACCACAAACTTATAGTTTATGCATACTTTTCTCCGTATTGCTTACTGTTATTTGCTACATGGATGCTACAACAACGTTTTATTATTGTTATTATTATGCAATGTTTATGTCTTTTGTCTTTTTGAGTAAATTAGATGGAATATTGTACTGAATGCTAAAAATTCCTTGCAGTATCATTAGTACTGTTTTGGAATGAAGCAAATTATTATTATTATTATTTAATTTTATTTAAAGTATTGTATTTTAACTAGGGATTTTGTTTGATTGGTTGGAGGATTTTATCATGAGGCTGACATCAGTTAGAGAATCATTGGAAAACCATTCGGGAGTACTCAACAGCCAGCTGTTTCGTCAGCCTAGTTTGGTATTTCTCATCAGTACGCACACACCGCTAGGGTCTGAATCCAGGACTTGTAGAGCATTAATGGTAGAGGTTAGAATTTATGGGCTGGGCATTGTATCAGGTCCCAGTGGCTGGCTGAACGGTATACGAGCTCGCTAGTCTTGTAACTAGAAGGTCATAGGTTCGAATCTCAGTGGGCGCATACTGATGGAGAGGCTCAAAGTGGGCTGAAACAGCTAGCTGTCTAGTACTCCTAGGTTTTCCAATAGTTCTCTACTCGATGTCATTTCATGATGAAAGCATGAAACCAATCAAATCCATGCAAACTAACAAACTTGAATACTCAGACTAACTTTAATCTAATCACATTATAACACTTCTCAAGTATCTTCATTCAAATCAACTTATTTTGTATACATATATATATATATATATATACATTTTAGAGGTGAATATTATGTTCGTGAAAAATGCTTTTTTGATCAAATAAGTCGTTCAGAAGGTGGTCCTAGAGGTCCTATGTCTTCATATCAAAATGGACAAGGAAATTACCAGTATACAAGTAATAGTCATTATCATGCAAGTAATTCTTCTGTTACACTTGGACATGCAACAAATGCTAGTAGTAATCTTGTTGGTATGAATTCAGCCTCTGCAGCAGCTAGACGTGAACGTCAATTAAATTTAGAGACATTTGGTCCAATGGCAGCTAGAACAACATTTATTTCACGTCGTCGACCAACTGGTAGTGTTCCACGTGATATGTTAGTATCAGCATCAGCATAAAAGAAGAAGAAGAGCTGAGTTTTGTGTTATTTCGTTCTTGTGTATTTTATGCCAAGGAATGTGTTTATTAAAACACAATGTTGTTTAACAAAATTTGTTTGTTTTCTTTGTGTATGTGTGTGTGCGTGAGTGTGTGCGTATTGGACACTTTGATTGAGTCACATTTACTTTGAACTCTTTGTTGTTCTGGTTAATGATAAATAACATTTTTTCTGTTATTGAATCACAGTTTGTTATCTGTTCTTATTAAAAGCAAAAAATACAATATATAAACATGTAGTAATTATTATTATTATTGTATCCTTTAATTCCTTGAGGAACATAGGGCTTCAGCTGTGCGTCTTCACTGCCTTCTGTTTTCTGCCAACTTTTTCACTCCACTCCAAGTCTGCCCACATGCTTTCATCTCCCCTTCACATGACCTCCTACAAGTCACCCTTGCACTGACGATCAACTCGCCGCTTCCCTTTCGGTTTCCACTCGAGCGATGGCTTGTCTAGTGATGACACTTGATGGTTTCCTCGGCGTATGGCCACCAATCCATCTCTATTTCTTCTTGCCTATTTGTTGCACAATCGGTTCCTGCTGGGTTGGTTCGCTCATTGACAGAGATCCCTGTTGCTGATCTTTTCTGGCTGGCCATCTGATCTTGAGTGGTATTGAGCGAAGACAGCTAGCTGTTGATGAAGGTGTGAAGTTTGTTTGAGATGCTCTTTATGACGCGCTGGCCAAGTCTCTGATCCGTATAGTTAGTAGCACTGACTGACTTCACATTGGAGTTGGAGATCCGGATGTTATTTTTGATGCTGAGTACTGAGTGTTGACCTCCACACAGATTTGAGAGTAATGAAAGCTTGTCTTGCTTTTCCGATTCTGGCTTTGATATTCTCGTCAGCTCTGTTCGCCTGTAGTTGAGACGATGCTTCCCAGGTAGGTCGGTAGGTGAAGGAGGTTGTTTCTTTCAGGTTCCTCCCATGTACTAATAATGTGTCTTTATTTCTTTCAACAATGATATTCAAGGGTTGGTTTGCAGTGATTTGATATACTTCATGCATTTATTCCCCTTGATGAATTTGAATAAAGCAAGAACAACTGGGTGGCGGTTTGTGCAGAATAAGGTGATGGTACCATCATTTATGCATTCGAATTCCCTTAGTCTATACGATTCCATGAAGCGGGGGGTAGAAAAAGATAGATGGAAGGCTACCTACGTGTGTTGTATGGCCACACATAGCAGGAAATAACGCCTGTATGGAATCACTCAGCCAGACAGCCAATCATTATCATCATTAATTATTCAAAAGAGCTAAATGAACACACAGGCATCATCATCGTCAACTGGAGGGGGGAGAGAAAATAAAAATGCAAGCTAACAGTCTACAGGCCAGAGAAAGAGATACGATACAGTTCGTGGAAGTTTTCCCTTTAATTGTATGTCTTTCTAAATCATTTAAAACATTTTGGTATGATGTGATGAAATTTCTTTATTTGGGTTTTTGATGAAGAAGTGAAGGGAGAAGTTTGTTTGAAAATAGTTTATTGATTTTAGGCGATCAGTTTGAAATAATCTACCCCTGTTTAGTAAGTAGTTAAATCATGGTGATCTAAATACTGGGACGAGAGTGTAGGGAATTCTGGTGACTTATAGTTGTTATCTCCTTAGGTTCGAGGTCGAATATAGGCTTTCGGCAACGCATACATCTCACCATCTCTCTAGCAATCGATCTATCTGTCTGCTATCGGAAGTCATTTTTAACTGGCTGCATGAATGCCAACAAGCTCTCATCTCCTTCATGTAGAACTACTACTCAGGCCGTCCCACTCGAGGGGTTGGCGTGTAATGTTAATCAGTGATAATCAGCAGATAGAATGACGTCAAGATTGAATATCTTGGCGTCATTCTATCTGCTGATCTTTCGTGGTCGTCTCATATCTTCATGATTTCTAAGAAAATATTCCGTCTTACCTTCTACATCAAGAAGTTAAGACATTCTGCAATAACCCAACCCTTACTCCTAAGATTCGTTAACTATTGCATCCTGCTTATTATTCTCTATTGTTCCCCCTTAGTTTTTCCAGGGCTACTGAAGAAGGACTATATCTTATTACGTAGGGTGTTAAAGGTTGTCAGCAAGGTAAGCCACAGGGCGCCACTTAACCAGCTTGTCAATATTCTGATCGACAGGCACCTGGACTCATGTGAAAAATGGGCTAAATCCATTCTATCTATCTAACTCACACCACCCTCTTCATTCACAACTCTCCAACTGTATCTCATCAGGTAGGATCAGTAACCTAAATAGAAAATTATATGCTCGCACTACCAAGTACAAAAACTCGACCAAACCGTCCCTTTTTAGCTCGTGTTCTGTGCGATAAAGGAAGCATTAGGCGTGATACCTATAACTTATTAAATAGTCAGTAGAACAACTGGATCTAGTCTTTCCAACTCATATCATTTATAGGTACAACGTTTTCTTTCTTTCTTTTCCTTTTCTCTCTCTTTTTTCTGTTATGTGCAGCTTTGTTTCTTTCTTCCTTACAAACTCTACTTAAAATATTCTTCTTCGTTCTTTCACACTGTGTATATGTCGACCTTTTGTTACCGCATACGCCAGTAAATATGCTAGTAGTATCTACTTTTTTAATTATAATAGTAACATATATATTCCAAACGGTATTTCTGCTACAGGTATGGAATTTTCAGCGTGCATTACAATAGATTGCATCTATCATGCATTTATTCCCCTCGATGAATTTGAATAAAGCGAGAACAGCAGTGGTTTGTGCAGAATAACATGGTACCATCATTGTTCATTTCGTTCGCTTATTATCAGCTCAGCTGCTTACATACAGCCTAAATAAATTATGGGTTTAAGTACAGAAAAGTTTTAACATATTGCAAATTTGTTTACATGTTGTCAGTTGACAGAAAGTCCCACAATTAGTAAACAGTGCTCAGAAAATTGCGCTTATATAGTTTTTACACAGGCAGTTCAAGTTTAAACAAAAATAAATAAATGTATGCATATAATGGTAAAAGAGTTGCGTAATAAAGATGAGATGTGCGTTAGATGCAGAGTGACTAATAAGTTAGGTAACAATGTACTGAGTTCAACTCAAATCACAGAAACAAGAGACAAGCAAAATTACAGATTATAAAAGGAGCGTGAGGTTAAAGACGAAGATTACGTAATCAGATGGGAGAGAAAAAAAGGCATCCAGTTACCAGGTGGGCAAGGAAAGATTAATAACTGCCTCTTTCTGAACACACACACACACACACATAAATCTGGTTTCAAGCGTTTGATATAAATTGCTTCGGAAAACTTGAGGAGAATGGAGCTCCTTTGTCTATTGATAATTTTGAAGGATCTCTCGATTTCCACCTCATGACCCGTGTGGAGAAGATGTCTGGTAATAGCGCTACTATAAGAGTTTGTTCCCTTGAAACGTAGGCTTTTCGGTACATGTTCAGGAAATTGGAGATGGGCCCTTTTTACTGTTCTCCCAATGTAACTGCCCCCGGGAGATATACGTAAATTTGTCTACACAGTTGGAATTAACATGAGAAGGGTGTCTATCGACTTTTGACTGCACCAGAGAGCATGTTGTTCGATGGATGGGAACCAATTTAGATGCAGGATAGGCTCTGGCTAGTGACGTACTCAGTCTTCTGTTGACCATTTCTGCAATGCCTTCACCTTTAAAATCTAGTTGAATGAAGACAGGCTTTTTTCAACTCTGGTTTTTTTGGTATTTGAACCTTCACATCTTCCATATTTGTTAATGAATCTTTGAGGATAGCCGTTGTTTTTCAGCATCTTTTCGAGTTTCTTAAATTCTTCCTCTAGTTTCTCTGCAGAGCCTATTCGCCTGGCTCTATAGTACAGAGTCTTGACTAGTGCTCGTTTATAGCTATTTGGACAAAAACTATTAAAATGTAAGTATTGTCCATTCCATGTGGGCTTTCGGTAGATTGACTTCTGGAGAATACCAACATCTTCTAGGTGTTGCATGGCGACGTCAACGGAATGGAACTTTCCATCATTTTCATGTTCCATAGTAAATACAATATTTGTATATGCGTTGTTGAATAGTCTGAGTAGGTAGGAGGCATGACTTTCGTTGTTGCATACTACAAATGTGTCATCAACATATCGACAATAGGAAGTTGTTTGATCAATTGCATGCTTCAACTTTGTTTTCTCGAAGTTTGACATAAAGACATCTCCTAAAATAGGGCTAAGTAGACTGTCCATAGCTACACCATCTATTTGTCGGTAAAGAGTGTTGTCAAACTGGAATTGTACACGCATGGTACACATTAGCAGTAGGCGTTTGAATTCCGGGTCTGGTAGTAGGAGAAGATTAGACTGTTGACAAATGATCTCAATGGTCTCATTGATTGGGATCATTGTGAACAAGGAGGTTGCACCAAATGAAGCCATGAACTTATTTGAAACGTTTATGTGATTCACGCTTTCGACAAAATGAAATGAGTCCTTTATGGTGTGCGCGGCTAGCCTTCAGTGAATGGGTTCCAACTTCTCCGCAAGCCAACGGGCAACCTTGTGTTGGGGATAGTTGATCATCGAAAGTATAGGTCTCAGAGGGACTTCTTTCTTGTGTGTCTTTGGAAGGCTATACATTTATGGCCTATTTATAAATATATGATATAATTGAGTACATGGATTCACTATGAGCTTACATCGATTACAGTTCCATTGGAAAACCAGCTTGGAGTACTGGACAGTCAGCTGTTTCGTTCACATGGTCTGGGATTCTTATCGGTCGAGGGTTCATGAACCTTTGGACCAGGTTCGAGGAGCTTGATAGTTCATGAGCTCGTCTTGTATCTGGAAAATCCTGAATTCAAACCCTGATTGGTATATGCTTCTGTAAAGTTTCAGACTAGTCTGAAGAAACAGCTTTCCAGTACTAGCTGATGGTTTTCCAATGTTTCCCTAACTGACGTCAGCTCATGATGAAATCCTCCATGCAATCAAACAAAAATCCCTACGAAAGCAATACTTGAAAAATTCATCTTTCAGTGGATGAATCATAATCAGCTGTATGGAGAATATCAGCTGTACCTTGTCGACATCACTTCCAATGAAACTACTAGACTTGATTTGTTATTGAAAATGTGTTGTAAGTAAGAAGTTTTAATAGCCGGCTCATGTATATGCGAACAATTATCAACTGAACTCAAACAAGAATGTGATTGCCATTATTAATATAAGAAAAAGGCGTAAACATCGAAGAGAATTTTCTTTTCGA